GCCGAGGGAGAGGTCCAGGAGGACCCCTGCTTGGGTCCTGAGTCCCAGGAGTGTGTATGGGGTGCTGAACTGAGATGGAAGGACCGGTGTCCAGTTTGGGCCCTCGGGGGGTGGGGGAGGGCAGGCAGCGGGGGCAGCAGTGTTTGACCCCCAGCATCTGTAGGGCCGAAGTGGGCCCGTGGGGGAGCTGGGCAGGGGCCCTGGGGCTGCGTCCAGAGAGGAGGGAGGGGCATCCTGGGTGTGTGCACATGGGCTCCGAGGTCTGGCGCTCACAGGCACTCGTAGCCCCGCGTGAGTGGCCAGGGAGGGCTTCCTGCGGGAGGGGAAGACCTAGGGAGAGGTGTCCAGGGCCAAGCACCTGGAAGGAGGGAAGCAGGAGGTCAGTGGTGAGGGAGATGAGGCAGGAGCTGCTGGGGTCTCAAAGGCCATGCAAGGGGCCGTGCAAGGGACTCATGTCACCCTTGATCCCATGGGTGACATGAGCCACCTAGAGTGACTGTCATACTGGTGGGTATAGGGGGATGGGTGGAGGGATGGGATGGGGGATGGATGGGTGGGTGGAGATGCGTCTATTCCCAGGTTCCCTGAGCAGGTACTGAGGGCCCATCCCTCCTTCCTGCCCAATTGGGAGCCAAGTTTTCCTCAATGAAGAGGGAGGACAGTCACAGCGGACCCCTCCCCAGGCACATTGTGGCCTGGCCTCAGGGAACAGGTGACAGTGAAGTCGGGTTTCCTGGCTCAGCTGGATGGAGAACCTTCAACCCCATCACAACTGCCCTGTCCATAGCTTAGCTTGGTGGGGAGTACGGGGAGCTGGGACCCCTCACCAAGCTTCCCCCGTGCCCCTCTCTAGACCGGATGCTGACTGTGTCAGTAGGAGTCCTTGTCACGAACTGTGGAATCCGTTCCAGCTAACTCCTGTGGTGGGCAGTGGAGGGCTTGGACGGGCTGGAACCCCTGGCAGCATCTCAGGGTCCATCTGTCCTGCCAGCTATGCTGCCCAGCTGCTGTTGCCACGGCGCCCATCCCTCCCGGCTTCTGAGATGGCCTGTAGGTCTGGGGTCCTGGGAGGGCGCATCTGATTGGCTGAGCCACGGTGCTGCCAGGGCCCGGCTGGGGTGGGATCTCAGGGCCTCTCCTCTCTCCACCTGCACAGGAGAGGTGCTTTCTGAGGGACCCTGGGAGCCTGCTGGGAAGGTGACTGCCAGTGATGGCATCCGAGGGCTCCCTGGACCTGACATTTGATACCCGAGTCCAAGGTCCGGCACCTGGAATTCAGAGGGAGGTCCCCTCCCCACCTCAAGGCCACCAGGACACCCGTGCTGAGAAAACAGTGTCCAGCACATGCTGTGGGTGTCAGTCACGGGCTTAATTTGGTGGAGAAAGCCCGTTTAGGTTTTCCGAGATTATTCATGAAGTCCTCATGTACAGTCTGGGAGCCTAATAACTCCTCAGGAATTCATTAAATAATAAACCTATAAGCTCCGTGAAAGCCCTCGGGGGCTCCGCTCTCCCAGCCCGGCCAGAAGCGAGGTGCTGGGGCCGAGACAGGCCCCCAGCCCCCCTCGGCGGCAAGGCAGCCTTCAGAGCGGGGAGTCACCGAGTGTGGCAGAAATGCACTCGGCCTCTTTCAGGGAACAAAATCATCGAGCTTACAGACTAAATTTAACAGCCTAATAGAAATATGCAGGTGAAGGTACAATTAATTTTAATTACAAGACTATACACTGTTGGTTGCACAGCCATGAGTAAAATTAAAATGGCAATCACAATTACGAAATTGCAACCTCATTGTGCAACAAATTAGTCACAAATTACAAGTGCGCCCAGTGCCGCCTCTCCCGGAGCTTTACGGCCGGTCCTGCTCTGCAGCCTCTGGGGAGCTGATCTCGTGGATCGGAAACGCGCTCAGGTGGCCGGGGCCCCGCGGGGTGTCCAGCCAGGTGAGCCAGACAAGGAAGGGGACCCTCTCAGGTTCCCCACCCCCAGGGACCCCAACCCGCAGGCTCGGTTCACCTGTTCTCCCCGAGTCCGCAGAAAGGCCCGCTCCACGGGCCTCTTAGTTTCCCGCCGGGAGCAGGGTCGCAGCTTCATCAGGGTGGCCGTCAGCCCTGCAGAGAGGGTCAGGACGTCCAGAGACCCCCGCTCTGTCTTCCCGGGCTTGGGGCTGCCGCTGCGAGGGCACCGGTGGCCCTTCTCTTCCCTCCCTCCTCAGGCGAGCCTGACCCTGCCTCACCTCTGGCCGTACCCCACTGTCCAGTTGGTGTTTCCATCTGGGGTCCCCAGGTGCCCCAACCCCAGCCCTGAGCACCGCAGGGTCCCTTGTCTAGCCCTTTCTCCCCGGGGTGCCTGACTCACTGCCCCACTTTCTTCCTAAGGCTCTCAGCTCCCCCCTCCCCTTCCTTTCCGCTGCCCCTCCCCGTCTCAGCCTGGACTCAGACACCTGCCTCGTGACCCTCCCGTAACTCCCTGTGCCCCGAGGGTGAGCGTCCTGGTCTCCGTAGCTGCCTCCTGGAGGGGGTGCGCATACAGTTCTTGCCGTTCCCTCCGTGGAGATGCTGTTCCCTTTGCTCGCGGCTAATCCTTCAGTCTCCCGTGGGTCCTGTGCCTCAGCAGGTCCCCCACCACGTGTGCCCCTGGGGGGGGGGTGGGGGTCAGAGGGCTGCGAACACAGTAGCTGGAGCAGCACCCAGGCCAGGTGCTGGGGGTGTGGGAGCTGGCGGGGGGCAAGAGGGCGGGGGGGTGTGGGAGCTGACGGGGAGCATGAGGGCGGGGTGTGTGTGGGAGCTGACGGGGGGCATGAGGGCTGGGGGGTTGTGGGAGCTGACGGGGGGCATGAGGGCGGGGGGGTGTGGGAGCTGACGGGGGGCATGGGGGGTGTGGGAGCTGACGGGGGGCATGGGGTGTGTGTGGGAGCTGACAGGGGGCATGAGGGCGGGGGCGGTGCTGAGGAGGCCCCCAGGCCGGCATGGTGACCGCTGAGCAGGCCCTGGGGGGTGCAGGTGATGGTCACTGCTGCACGAGGTCACGCGGGGGTGAGTGGCGGGCCGTCCACGTCTCTCTGACTCAGGAGTCTCAGCTCAGGACTCGCAGCATTCTGCTTTTTCACCGGAAAGCTCATTTCTGCTCCAAGTGCCCAGAGGGTACAGCTGGGACCCAGACCTGAGGCGTAAATAGGAAGGGAGGGCCGTGGAAATCGCCGCTGGCCGCTGGGTGCGAGTCCTCGACCACTCCGCTGGGAAACGCAGTGGGTGCCCCCTTCCCCCCTCCTCCCTTCTGTGCCAGGGCTTGGGGGACTCATCTGTGTGCTCTCCAAAATCCACCCCCCGTTTAATTTAGGTCTATGGGGCCCCCTGCCAGAGAGCCCAGCTCTCAGTGCCCACCCTCCAAGCTGGGAGGCAAGCCAGGCCACAGGGAGGGGTGTGAGGTCTTTGCACCCCAGACCCCCAACCTCTTCATTGCCACCTCCCTTTTGTGGGCACTGCCACCTTCCGACTGCTCCTCCCCATGACTCCCAGGCCAGGCTTGGCGGGTAGTCCTTTACACTGTAGTATGAATGCAAACTGCAGATCGCTGGATCCCATCCCTCAGCTCTCCCAGAAGAAGGGAGCTGGTGCAGAAGGGGGAGGGGATGCCTCCCCTAGTCCCGGGGCTTAAAGAACACCACGAGGCACTCCCCTGACACCAGGACCCCCCACCGACTCACTCAGCCTTTCCAGGTCTGCAGGGCCCCGGTGGAAGCCCCTGCCACACTTGGGGGGCTTGCGGTGTGTCCCGGGACAAGCCGCCCCCCTCCGCCTTCTCTCCACCTTCAGCGTGGGTGAGGGTCCAGGCAGTTGGGAGGAGGCTGAAAGTGTGGGTGCGAGGTGCTCAGCTCAGGTTAAGGTTCACCCCACGATTGTGCAGGCAGGAAAGGGCCAGGGGCTGAGGGGCGTGCAAGGGTGGCCCAGGCAGGGAGGGGCCCTGAGTGGGGGGTCCCCGGGGGTGGCTGAGCAGGCCCTGACCCTCTTTTCCATGCTGTCCTGACACCCCCTCAACACTGTCCCATCTACTCATGAACGTGGCCCTGAAGACCCCCCAAGTGAGCCCCGCGGCCAGGCCTCTTCCAGGGAGCTGCGCAGACACGCCCAGAGCAAGAGGTCAGGGCAGCCACCCCTGTGCCTGGCGTGTGGCAGCGCCAGGACCTTGGCACTGATGCCTGCGGGGTGGACCTGGGTGGCAGCCTGGAGGGGGCGAAGTGGCTGGGCAGGGCCCGTGCCCTAAGTAACAGGGAGCGGAGGGCAGAAAGAGGCCCAGGGCGGCGGGGGGAGGGTCGTGCCGCCCGCCCGGTGCATTCCGGAGTCCCCTCTGTCCCGCAGCTGGCGGCGTGCCCTCCCGCACAGGGCAAAGCCCTGTGCCCAGCACCGGCGCCTGACGCCAGCTCCCACCGCCGGCTCCCTCCTCTGTCGGGGGCAGGTGAGGGGCGGGGCTGCCTGGCGACCCCGCCAGCGGACCAGGGGTTGGACAGCGCCTTCCTGCTCCCACCCGCGTCTGCAGAGGTGGTCGCAATCCCAGCTGGCAGAGCGGAGGTGAGCCAACAGACTCAGACAGAAACTCTCCCGGATCCCAAAAGCGCGGTGCCCATCCCCCCAACAGGGAGCTCTCAGCACCTTCGTCCTGCCAGCAAGTCCCAAGGCCCCCAGCAGCAGGGCCACACCCCCCGAAGCCGCACTACAGTGACGCCAGCTCCCAGCTGGGAGCCACTGGGGGCCACTCCTCCCGAGGGGGCAGCCCAGACACGCCCTGGCTAGGGGGTCTCCCAGGGCTGGGAGCTCGAGCTAATCTCGGGTGCTCCAGGGCCGCCGGGGTCTCCTGCGGCTGGTCCCTCTGCTCAGTGAGTGCTGCCATCAGCCCAGGGAGGAAGATGCAGGGTCCTCTCTGGCCCACGGACAAGGTGGCCTCCCGGTCTGAGGCTTTCTTGGGCCATCACGTCTTCCCTCCTTGACGTTTCCTTCACCTACCGGTCACCGCGTCCCAGATGGTTACCGCCTGCGTACCCCACTGGCCCACACCCTCCGTGGGGGACGTCTCCGTCTTGTTCCCTGACGAACCAGCCAGCCTGGACAGGTGGAGAGTGTGGGTACGGACATTATAACAGTACTGAGTCTTCTGCCCATGGATGTGGTCTATCTCGCCAGTATTTAGTTCTTCTTCAATTTCTCTCAGCAACGGTCGGTATCTTTCAGTGTACAGGTCTTGCACGTATTTCGTCAGGTTTATCCCTATATATTTAATGTTTTCGATGGCATTGCAAATACCGTTTTAAATTTCGAATCGTTTGTTGCTAGCACACAGAAATACAACCGATGTCTGTACACTGATCTTGCATCCTGCGTACAATCTGGGTGCTTTTTATTTTTGCTTTACTGCGCTGGCTAGAATGTCCAGTACAGTGTTGAACAGAAGAGCTGGGAGGCGACATCCTTGCCTTTTTCCTGACTTTGGGGTGAAAGTATTCAGTCCTTCACCACTAAGTGCGACATCAGCTGCGTCAGGCACGCCCTTCATCAGGTTGAGGAAATTCTTTTCTCTGCCTGTTTTACTGAGGATTTTTATTAGAAATGAATGTTGGATTTTATCAAATGATTTTTCCGTCTATTTAAGTAGTCATCAGGTTTTTCCTTTTTAGCCTGTAACTATGGTGAATTACATTTTCGAGAGTTAAACCAACCTTGCATTCCTTAGATAAATCCCACTTGATCATGATCCTTTAACAATATTGTCGAATCCCGTTTTCTAAATTTTAAGAATGTTTGCATTATGTTCATAATGGATTTTGGTCTGTAGTTTTCTTTATTTTTGTTGCCTACTGTTGGGGCCAAGGTACTCTTTGTCTCATAGAATGAGTTGGAAAGTGTTTTCTTCTCTTCAGTTTTCTGGAAGAGTTCCTGAAGAATTGTTATTATTCTTCCTTGAGACCTATTTGGGCTTGGGTTTTTCTTTTTTAGAAGGCATTTAACTAAAAATTCAATCTTTTTTTTTTAATTTTTTCTATTCTTTTTATTTTTATTTTTTTTGCGGTTCACGGACCTCTCACTGTTGTGGCCTCTCCCGTTGCAGAGCACAGGCTCCGGACGCGCAGGCTCAGCGGCCATAGCTCACGGGCCTAGCCGCTCCGCGGCATGTGGGATCTTCCCGGACCGGGGCACGAACCCGTGTCCCCTGCATCGGCAGGCGGACTCTCAACCCCTGCACCACCAAGGAAGCCCTAAAAATTCAGTCTTTAATAGCTATAGGACTATTCAGCTTTTCTATTTCTTCTTGAATGGCCTCTGATAGTTTGTGTCTTTTGAGAAATTTGTCCTTTTCATCTAAGTTGTCCAATGCATTGGCATAAAGTATACACAATAGTCCCTTAATATCCTTTCAATATCTGTACAATCTGTAATGATGTCACTTTTCTCATTCTTGAAATCGGTCATTTGTGTCTTCCCTCTTTTACTCCTGATTGGTCCGGCTTGTCAGTCTTACTGACCTCAGAAAACCAGCTTCTGGTTTCATTGATTTTCTCTATTGTTTTTCTGTTTCATCGATTTCCGCTCTGATGTTTATTATTTCTCTTCTTTGGTTTACTTTGAGTTTTATGTGCTCTTTTTTCCCCTTGTTTCTTAAGGCGGAAGTTGAAGTCGTTGATTTAGGATCTCTGTTTTTTTCCGATATAGATGCTTTCCCTCTCAGTACTGCACTGCTTTAGCTGTGTCTCAAAATTTTTGATACGTTGTGTTTTCATTTTCATTTAATTCGAAATACTTTCTCATTTCCCTTTCGATGTCTTCTTTGACCCAGGGGTTATTTAGAGGCATGTTTTTTAGTTTCCACATATTTAGGACTTTTCTAGGTATCTTTTGGTTATTGATTTCTAGTTTATTTCTGTCGTGGTCAGATAACATACCTTGTATGAATACTTTAAAATTGGTTGAGACTTGCTTTAGGGCCCAGAATATGGGTTTTCTTGGTAAGTGTTCCTCGTGCACTTGGAAAGAACGTGAAATCTGCTGTTCTGAGCAGAGCGCCCCGTGAATCAATCAGCTCAGACTGGTCGACGTGTGTCCAAGGCTTCTGTGGTCTTCATGATATACTCTCTACTTGTCCTATCACTTATTGAGAGGGGGTGTTGAAATCTCTGACGACAACTGTGGGTTTTTCTATGTTTCCTTGTGTTTTTCTCAGTTTATTCTTCATGTATTTTTGTTTGTTTGTTTTATAAATTTATTTATTTGTTTTTGGCTGCATTGGGTCTTCGTTGCTGCACGCGGGCTTTCTCTAGTTGCGGCGAGCGGGGGCTACTCTTTGTTGAGGTGCGTGGGCTTCTCATTGCAGTGACTTCTCTTGTTGCAGAGCACGGGCTCTAGGAGTGCGGGCTTCAGTAGTTGTGGCACGCGGGCTCAGTAGTTGTGGCTCGGGGCTCTAGAACGCAGGCCCAGTAGTTGTGGCACATGGGCTTAGTTGCTCCGTGGCATGTGGGATCTTCCCGGACCAGGGATCGAACCCGTGTCCCCTGCAATGGGACAATTTTAAGCTCTGTTATTAAAATGTTTATTATGAAACGACCCTCGTTATCCCTGGTAACGCTGTTGCTCTGAAAGCTAGTTGGATATTACGTCACTCCAGCTCTCTTTTGATGAGTGTTAGTTCATCTTGTCCCACCCTTTTACTTTCCCTCGTGCTGTCTTCATGTTTACAGTGGCTTCCATGTAGGTAGCCTGTAGGTTATCTGATCAGACGTCCTTGGCCTTTTAATTGCAGTGTTGGGATCATCTGCATTGACTGTAACACCGATATGTCTGGGCTTAGATCCACCTCTTCTTTCTGTTTTCATTTGTCCCATCTGTCCTTTGGTCCCTTTTCCCTCTTTTTCTGTCTTCTTTTGGGTTGAGTATTTTTTATGACTTTACTTCTCTCGTTAGTTTGTCAGCCGATTTCCCGCCCCTCAGGGTCACCAGAGACCTCTGTGTTACCCTGGGGCATCCATTCTTGGTTCTCACCTTGGCCCCGCCCCCAGCCCCCCTCCCTCCTCCTGGGGACACTCCCGCCCGCCTCCCCACGGTCTCTCCTCCATCCCCTCTGCTCCTTAACGGTGACAGTGATGCACAGGGCTCAGGCTGGGCCCTCCCCTCTCCTCCTGTCCCCGCAGTCTCACTGGGTCACGTGGTGTAACGCCCTGCATACGGGGACGCCCACGCTTCTGTCTCCAGAGCTCTCTCTGGATTCCCAGGAACCTGGCCACTACTCAGCATCTCCAGCGTCCCAGCGCCCGAGGGAAGCGTGGGCCTCCCCGCGCTCAGCACCTGCTCTCTCGCCCCGTCCCCTCCTCCGGCTGTTCAGGCCCAAACCTCCACTTCATGGAGTTCATTGAGACTCCCTCTCTCTCTCCTCTCTCGTGAATGAACCCCACTGCCTCTACTTTCAGAGCCCATCCTGAACCTGACCCTTCTTGCGGCCCCGCCGGCTCTGCCAGGCCACCGCCCGGTCTCACCAGCCGTGGTGGTGGCCCTGGCCTCTCCTTCCTACATCCCCCCAGCCCCACAGGCCGCTCTCTGTCTGCTCGGGGTCCTTACACACACCGCCCTCGCTCTTCCCTCTCAAACCTTCACTTCGGGGAAGTCACAGCCCCTCCGCGGTCCTTAGAGCCGGTGTGTGCTGCCCGGCGACCCCCCGGGCCTCGCCGCCACCCATCTGCCAGCCTTGCCAGGCTCCCCGCTGTCCCCTCCTGCCCTCCCTCAAGTTGCTGCTCTCACCGGACCACCCCGCGGAAGACAGCAAGTCCCTGCACTCCCCACCCCGCCTCCAGCCCTGCAGTTGTCACCTTCTGACAGCAAGGTTACTTGTCGTGTTCTGTCTCTGGGATGCCGGCTCCACGTGGGCGGGGACCCTCGTCCCTTTGCTCCCTGGCCACACCTGAGCGCCCAGCGCACAGTGGGTGCTTGGTCAGCATTGACCTGGTGGCCGCGATGCAGGGAAGGAAGACCTGAGGGCCAGTCGCTCATCTGAGCCCTTTGGAGTCCACCCCTGGCGGGCAGGGAGCCCAACCCCAGATCAAGTTTGTGACGAAAGTTTTAAACCACACTGAGGGTTTTGTTTGTTTGTTTCTATTTATATTATTTTTTAGATTTTTGAATTAAATAAACTTTTTTTTGGCCATGCTGCACAGCTTTCTGGATCTCAGCTCCCCGACCAGGGATTGAACCCGGGCCCTGGCAGTGAAAACTCAGAGTCCTAACCACTGGGTCGCCAGGGAAGTCCCTCTATTTTATTTTACTTATTCATTTTTAATAACCAATTTTTAAATTAAACTGTAGTTGATTTGGGACTTCCCTGGTGGCCCAGTGGTTAAGAATCCACCTTCCAATGCAGGGAACACGGGTTTGATACCTGGCCGGGGAACTAAGATCCCACATGCCGCGGGGAAAGTAAGCCCACGCGCCACAACTACTGAGCCTGCGTGCCGCAACTACTGAGCCCGTGTGCCACAACTACTGAGCCCGCATGCTGCAACAAAGACCTGACACAGCCAAATAGATAATTTTTTTAAGTATAGTTGATTTACCCTTTTGTGTTAGTTTCGGGTGTACAGCAAAGTGACTCAGTTATACATATATATACATATATTCTTTCTCATACTCTTTTCCATGATGGTTTTTCACAGGATACTGAACAGAGTTCCCTGTGCTCTACAGGAGGGCCTTGCTGTGCTGAGTTTTCATGGCCAAAGGGGACCAGAATATTAGGAAATCTGCTTGAGAGTCAATAAAAGACAAAGCATTTGACGGAAGCAACTAGAGAAAACCAGAATCTCCTCACGTCCCCCTGCCGACTGGGGCCTCCCCGCGTGTGCGGCCCCCCCAGCCACGGTGACGGCGGGGCCCCCCGCCGCTGCCTTTGACTGGGCCCGGGCTTGGCGCTGGGCAGCCCCGAGACTCGAGGCTCCCGAGGCGGGGGCCCCACGGTGTGCGAGGACCCTGCCCCCCAGGCCGCGCGGGCTTGGCCAGCGTGGATGGTCGGCTGCGGGGGCCCCGGGCTCGGCCTGCGGGTGCTGCCGGCTGGACGCCCGCGGCGGTG